CTCTGATTGGTGACCATGTTCATCACCGATAAAGGGAAGTGAGGGTATAACAGCAATGAAGCTGCGAGCTAAGCCCTACAACCAATGTTCAATAGACTCCTGTGAACCTGGGTGGAGACCTGGTTGGCCAGCACTGTGGCGAGACCTCTGGGGATGCTTGGGCCCAGAGTCAGTGACATAGCCACAGAGGACTAGAGTGGAGAGTGAAGCATCCAGCTGATAAGAAGAGAGGGCATATGCACAAGAACACCCACACTTGCAGATAATACCCACTTGACCTGGCTTCAATGACTGGATGATCAAAGCTCAACCAGAAGAAGAAAGAAGAGAGAAAAAAGAGTAATCTGATATAATTTGATGGAACAAATCTTTATAGCAAGGATCATTCCCACCCCCTCCATACACAGAGTAGACAGGGATGGGCAACTTGGACATTGGCTACCCAAAATGGGGGGGGCGGCTACAAAGGCAAGAAGTGACTGGCTTACAAGCTTTCAAGAGAAACCTAGATCCAGAGGACATGGGGGAAGGTAGAATCTCCACTGAGTAGTATCCAATCCGTCTAGGTGGGACTGATGAAAGGAAATGCAGATAGGTCTCTTGTGATACAATGGTGAATGATTATTACCAGGACTGATTGTGAGGGTTGGAAATGTAAAGGTAGACATTTTTTTGGCAAGGAGAGGAGTGATTAGCTTTTCACTCTAGGAGCGGAGGTCCCTGGGACCATCAAGGGAGAAGAGCGGAGAGTGGGACCCTACCCAGAGAAGCAGTGATGCTTGAGATGGAGGCAGAGATGAAGACATGGAGTGATGGTGCAGCTGGGGACTTTAGACCCAGAGAGGGAGAGAGGCTGTGTGCTGATGACCGGGGGCAGGCTTGTAGTATATACCCTTTGGTTGGTTGATGATGCATGGAGGGGATTGTAACCATGGCAATGAAACATTATACGATAGGATTAATGTAAAACTTATGTTCTCCCATGTAAACGATCACATAATTCACAATAAAACATTAAAAATAATAATGATAAAAAGGAATAAGGACTTGGAGTCCTGCTGAATGAAATCTAAGTCCTGGCTCTGACTCTTTTAGTTTGACAGAGCACTGCTTCTCTAGGCTCCCTGACTCTTATCATCAGATCTATGCCACTGTTGGGTGGAGATTAACTATTTGTATATATTTTTTTAACCAGGCAGACGTCAACCCCTTCTATGCATGGGTAACAAGGGCATCTGCAGAGCCTCTTGCAAAAAGGATGAGAAACCCTACCTCTATTGCAAAAATGATCAACCATGCTGCCTCCAGTCCTACATGAGGATAAGCTTGGTTGGCGAAGAAGAGAATAGCAACTGGGCCTGAGGGAACCCCTGGCCATAAATACCTTGAGTGTGAGTGATCAGCATCCTCTTCTACCTGGGACTTCAGACCTGCTGTCAATTCCTCTCATTAAAATTTATGCATCTGCCACCCTTGTCACTCTTTCATTCACTGGGCATTATGTGGAAAGGAGATTGGGTTTTGCATGGAGAGATATTTGTCCCATTCTAGATGTACCTCTGTGACAGAAGACTGGAAACCTGAAGTGATTGTTGGAGTGAGTCTAGACAAGCCCATGAAGATGGGAAGAGAATGGATATAAACCCTGTGAGGGAGGTTGAAACATTTAGGCATGCGTATAACTTTGCACAATGTAGGACTCAAAGGGAGACCAGAACCAGTGGGTTACATGCATGGAGTAATGGGTAGTGGTCTTGTAGACAAAGATGGATGAGGTCATAAACGAACTTCGTAACCACCAATAGAGCTTGTTGTAAAGTGGAATAAGTGTCCCTACCGTGGAATCCTAGTATGGCACTGTAGGATCAGTGCTGGACTGCAAAACACAAGGTCAGCAGTTCAAATCCACCAGTTGCTCCTCAGAAACCCTGTACAGAGCCGCTGTGAGTTGGAACCAACTTGACAGCACTTAAAACAACACGATTATGGTTTTCAGTTGTGAGAGTGTGAGCTCCGTTTGGTGGTTATTGCAAAATGAATTTGAACATTGGATGTGGTTAGTTTTAACAATCTTTGAGGTCCTTTGTTGCTGTGAGGTGCCATTGATTTGGCTCTGATTCATAGCAATGCCATGTGTAACAAGTCCTAATATAATAAGGTCCTTTAAGTCCTAATAATCTAGAAATCTTGTGCTCCAATTATAAGCAACTCCCAAAACCTAAACCAAATTCACCGTTATCAAATCAATTCCAACTCATAGTGACCCTATTTTGGATTTCTCAGACTGTAAATCTTTATAGGAGCAGGCAGTCCCGGCTTTATCCTTTATAGCAGTTGGTGGGTTTGAACTGCTGACCTTTTGGTGAGCAGTGTAATGTTTATGCCACAGAACTAACTGGGCTCTTTAGTTACAAGTGGCACTAACTTTTAAAAGTAAAAGTTTCATTTTACTTTTTCTGCTTCACTCACACTAATATCGAATTTATTTGTCCATTTTTAGTTTGGTAAGAGCAGAATAGCTACACTTGCCAATGCTATTTCTTTACTCTCTCTCTCTGTCTCTCAACTCATTATAATTTGCTTTTGTGTTTTTCACTCTATTGAACTGACTCTGGCCTAGATTACCAGTTTTCCAAGTCCCATGAGTATTACTCAACTTTCATCTCCCTCTGCTTCTTGGTAGCATTTCCATTCCCTCCTTGAAGGCCTTAGCTTCTGTGGTTTTTATGCCTTCAGTCTTTCTTTGTTTCCCTCCTAATTTTTGAGCTGCACCTTTTGCACCTTTTGGTGCTCCTCTTTTGTCTTTTACTTTGTTACATTCTCCTGAGTTTCTCTTCTCTTTTGAGAATAAAGATTCTTCACATTTCTAAGAAAAAGTTGACACATAAAGCTCTCAATAATCAGATAGACAAAATAACACACATTTTCACTCACAATTAAAGGGTTGTCTCAACCTCTGGATGTCCCTTTGTGCTCTAGGAGATGAGCCAGCCTTTCAATTGACCTTGATACACCTGGGCAAAGAAGAGTCTTCATAGCTCACATCTGGACCAGTCAATTTCCAAGAGTGGAAGATAAGATGGAGCTGCAGGGCCAAAGTTAACCAGACAGTGAGTGCTTTGGCCCGAAGTGTCTGCTGTTCTATAAGAAAGCTTTCAGTGTCTGTTATGAACTGAACTGTGTCCTCTTTCCGCAAAAGAAATGTGGCATTCCTAACACCTGTAACTGTAAAGATGACTGTCTTTGGAAATAGGTTTTAAAAATTGTATTAATGAGGTCATACCAGAGTAGGATGGCCCTAAACCTAATCACTTCAGAGGATGTCTTATAAAAAAATCAGACTAGATAAAGAGATGTACGTACAGGAAGAAGAGACTATGTAAGGCTCCACCTACAAGCAAGGAGCGCCAAGAAACACCAAGGAAAGCTCAGGACACAAATGCAGAAAAAAACAAGGATCTTCCCTTAGAGTCAACACAGAGATCATAGCCCTACCAACACCTTGAATTCAGAATTCTAGTTTCCAGAACCTGAGAAAATAAATTCATGTTTTTTAAAGTCACCACTTAGGGTATTTTTGTTGGGTTGTTATGACAGTACTAATTAACTAAGACAGTGTACTAGTAGCTATTCTGATTTTGACCACTTACGCTGCCATCAAGAGACAAGACTGGAGGGGCCAGGTGGTACTTTGCAGCTGTCCGATGACAACCAGAGCCCGTGGCCTGCCTTGCTCCCACACAACCCCACTATGGTTTATATGGGCTCTGTGGGGACTCAACTTGGACATATTCATGGACCCGAGGAAGATGAACTAGTGCCAACTCTACTGCCAGGTTTTGAACTTTGCCATGATCCAGTCCTCTGTGCTCATGATGTAGAAAGGCTTGATTATCCTCACTGTCATTGAGAACCCCATTGTGGTGGTGCCGAGTGGCAGTTTGGGGCCAGCCTTCCACAGGGGAGACCGTCTCTTCCTGACCAACTTAACAGGAAGATCCCATTTTTATTGTGGTGGTGGTGGTGGTTAAGTGCCATCAAATCATTTCCAACTCACAGTGACTCTGTATAGGGTTTCCAAGGAATGACTGGGAGGTTTGAATTGCCACCCTTATGGTCCAAACTGACCTTATGGTCAAATATGTATCTTACAGCACCACACCAGGATACCAAGACCCCATTAGAGCTCGGGAAACAGTTGTCTTTAATGTCAAAGGACAAGATATTCCAATAGTTCACAGAGTAATCAAAGTCCATGAAAAAGATAATGGAAACATTAAATTCCTGACAAAAGAGATAATAATGAGACTGAGGATAGAGGCTTGTACAAAGAAGGCCAGACCTGATAAAGAAGGACATGGTAGGAAGAGCAAGAAGGTTTTTATTATATGTTGGTATGTTGGTGTTTTGTTATTGTTAAGTGCCATTGAATTGGGTTTTATTCATAGTAACCCTGTAGAGGGTTACTAAAACCTGAATTGTAGAATGAGATGCAGTTGTTACCAGATTGAAATATATTCTGTTGAAAAAGAGAAAAAGAAATATATTTGAAAGGTTCCACTTTCTGTATAAAAGAACACAATACAGAAATTTTTTTGTTTTGTTCACATAAATGACTCATCAGTGAGAAAAAGCAGCAAGACTAGCACAGAAATGCCTCTGGTATCCCAAAACACTTGCAGGAAGATTGAAGGACACATGCAAAGAACAACGTTGGAATACAAACAAGAGACACTAAAAATGAGCTAAAACGTATCATGGCAATAATTTGATATTCAAGACAAGCACTGAAGAGTTCACAATTGGAAACAGTGGAAAAATGTGGACTTCTGCATACAGCTGTTTTTATTTAGAATTATGCATTAGAGGGCACCTGAAGGTAGGTTGCCATGATATTTACATGGATAAGAGTGAATGACAGCAAAGAGGAATTCATGTAATTTGAGGGACCTCAGGGGAAAGACTACATTTCCAGTTCCCGATCAAAATATTCATCTTTTTCATTCTCGGTGTTTACTTAATATTGTTGAATATACGGTTTGGGGTAGTGTTGTTTCAATCACACCCATTGTGGTTTTTGCTGGAATTGTTGTAAGCTCTGGCTTTATTTTCCAGAAGACTTTCTTGTGGCGAATGCAGCAGACTTCACTGTTTTTACACGTGGTCTTAGGAACTTCATTATACTTGCAATGTTTCCTGCAATGTCCTCTGTGTATGCATTTTTTTCTGCCAGCATATGCTAAATGATAAAAGAAAATACCTTGATGTTAGATGAGGATGCTCTTAATTGTATTCACTTGACTGAATATAATCTCGTAACAGCATTGTGGGTCATAATAAAACTATGGCTACAACACCCCTATCCCAAACCTGGGAAATACCATGTTACTTAAAGATCCCACCTGCCCATTTTTAACTTTCCTGAAAGTGGGATGAATTTTGCCATCAATGTGAAAGGGAACTTTCTAGTTAGAAGGACTGTATCTAGTTATAATAAGTTAATGAAGCCCAGGTGGCACAATGATTAAGTACTTGGTTGCTAACCAAAAGGTCAGTAGTTTGAACCCATCAGTGGGAGAATGATGTGGCATCTGCTTTCATAAAGATTTACAACTTTGAAAACCCTATAGGGCAATTCTCTTCTGACTTGCCATGAGTAGGCATTGACTTGATGGCAGTGGGATTTGCATGTGATTTTATAAAGAAAATGGACCTGAAGCTTTCTGGTTTTGAATCAAGATTCTACTGTTGTTTGTTGTTGTGTGCTGTTGAGTTGGTTCTGACTTATTGCGACCCTGTCTATATAGTGAGACTGCATACCTTGATGTGAGCAGAAAGTCTCCGCCTCTTTCTACTGTGGAGTGATTGGTGGATTTGACCCACTGATCCTGCAGTTGACAGTCCAACATGTAACCCACTATGCTACCAGGGCTCCAAGATTACACTGTTGTTGTTGTTGTTAAGTGCCATCAAGTCAGTTTTAACTCATTGTGACCCTGTATAGGGTGTCCAAGGAGTGGCTGGTGAGTCTGAACTGCTGACTTTGTGGTTCAAACCAACTTTGCAGTACAACACATTAATCCACAGTGCCATACCTCATGAAATGAGCCAGATGACACTCTGGAGAATAATGTACCTATGACTAAGGAGTCCTAGTGTGACACCATGGGATAAATCACTGGACCACAAGGTCAGTTTGAACCACAAGGCTGGTGGTTCAAACTCATCAGCCGCGCCTTGGAAACCCTATACAGGGTCACTATGAGTCAGAACCGACTCGATGGCACCTAACCACCACAACAAAACCTGGCGAGGTACTAAGACAGAAACTAGGTAAAGAACTCCTGGATAAAGGATACAAATAGATAATGAACAGAAGAGGAAAATCACTCATTCACCCATTTGACAAATGTTTGCTGAGGATCTGTGCACTTGGCACTATTCAAGATGTGAGAGAATGTACCCATTAATAAGACAGACCAAATTTCTTGTTCTGAATTACTTTATACCATCAAATTGGTAAAAATAATGCTGAGCGTTGGAAGGATTATGGTGACAGAAAACACTCCCCATTTCTATAAATGTCACTGGTTTTTATTTCTTTTCTTTAAATTTAGGGACTGTCCAAGATAAAGCATAAGACTTTGTACTTCTTTCATGTTTCGACTCTTCTTTCCAAGGGGATGACTCCAATTTTTTTATCTCTTGCCAGAACACTCAGACTTGAAACTCCAAAAGATGTAAAATTTCCTTCACTCCCTAAGTGCCCTATGGAGTACTTGTTGTTAAGTGCCGTCAATTCGGTTTCCACCCATAGCAACTCTGTATAGGGTTTCCAAGGAGAAGCTGGTGAGATTGAACCTCCAACCTTGTGATTCAAACCGACTTTACAGTCGAGCACATCAACCCAGAGCACCACACCAGAATGCTGCAAATTGTTAACATGCTTGGCTGCTGAAAGGTTACATGTTCGAGTCCACCTAGAGCCCTGGAAGAAAGGTTTGGTGATCTACTCCTAGAAAATCAGTCATTGAAAACCCTATGGACACATACGGGCTCATGAAAAACCAAATTTGGCACATATAGGGTCACCGGAAGTTAGAGCTGACCGGATGACATCTTTTTTTTTTTCTCCTCCATATGCCCAGTTTCTGTGAACTATGGATTCTTTTTTACAAACCTTTCACATGTGTCTCCTAACAGAACCTGTGTCCTGCCAGAACCTGTCTCCTTACCAAAACTCAGAGTGAGTACAATTGGTCTCATGTGACCATACAGAACTGTCTTTGATTATGTCTGAAATTACAACTAAAGAAGATGTACTCAAAAGCTTGAAAACTTCCAGTTTCCATCAGCAGCATCCGGAAAGGATAGGAAGGTGGAATTTATGAAACAAATTATCTTCAACTTACCATTAGCTTCTGATTTAAACTTTAGGCATCTAACCTACATGAATGCTTGCCCAAATATGCAAAATATATGTACAAATATGTGCACTGATGCATTGCTTGCATTATTTGATAAGTGAGAAAATGTCCTAAATAACTTACATATATAAATTATAGCTTATCTACAGTGGAACTTGGTATTTTGCAAACAAGAAGGCAGATCTTTAGGTGGTGATATAGAAAGAGGGCCACAATATATTACTGAATGAAAGAAGGATTATACACAGCAGTATGAACAGTGTACTTCTTTTTTTGTAAAAGAGAAATATTTATATTCATTTTTATGTGTTTGTCATGCATTGAAATATATACAACAGAGGGAGAAGAAGGGTAGTTAGAATATGAAATTATTCAAATCCTCTTAGGCAACAATTTCAAAATTCTGGTCACAAAATCTGGTTTTAGATATACTTAAACAACAGCAACAACACAGTGATTACTAAAATCTGTTTTTATGAGGGAAAGGAAACAGGAAAGTCAGTTTTTCTCTCCCATCTAAAGCTATAACAGGATTTGTAGGGCCAAGAAAACACAGAGAATTGAGCTTTGAGAATCAGTTTCAAGAGCTAGAACAAATTGGAAAGCGAGTTCAGATGAGTTTTTAGGTGGCAACTTGGGATCTAAAACTGAGAGCAACTCTGGATGTTGGGTTTCCTCTATCCTACCCCAATGTTCTGCCCCTGTCATGGTTCTAATGTGGAGGCCATGGAGATAGTCAGATTGGGGGATAGCATGACACATCACCCTGGAATTTTCATGAGCAGGAGCAGGAGAGAGGAGAAACCTCTATTTTCTCAGTTTCCCTGGGTTCTAATTACCTGGGATCACTAAGGGCAGGAACATGAGGGCAGCAAGAGTCAGGAACAGAAGTTTCATGGTTCTTTAAGAGTAGGAGGCAGTGAGTCCAGGAGTTGAGAACACTGTGTGCTGTGTGAATCTGAACTAGTCTTTATTGGTCTTTCTGGGGTGGGAGCACTGAACCAGACACATATATAAAACCTTATCTATGCAAACTATCAGTTCCTTGGCTGGCCATTGTTTCAGTATCTGACCCGGGCACTGGGAAAGCATGCAGAAAATTACAGGTCCGAGACTTTTAGGAGGTGTTTGGAATTAGGGAGAAGGAGGATTTGTACACTAGAATATCTTCCCTGACTTCTCCAGACCTTTCATTCTAGTCTAAGCTTGTTCTTGAACTATTTACATGTGTGTCTACACCCTCTGGAGGTCCCTGAGAGGTGTAAATGGTTTGCACTTTACTACTAACCTAAAGGTTGCCAGTTCAAACCCATTTAGAGATGCTTCAGAAGAAAGTATTGGAGATCTGTATCTGAAAAGTCAGCCTTAAAAATCTTGTGGAGCAATTCTACTCTCCACAAATCGGGTCAACATGAATTGATATCAACTCGGTGATACCTAACAACAACAGCCAGAAGCTTGAAGACAGGAAGTCTTTAGAGACAGCATGTTATTGTTGGTAGGAGCCATCGAGTTGGAACCAACTCTTCGTGACCCTAGCCACAACAAAACGAATGCAACACTGTCCACCTCACAATAATTATTTTGCCTGAACCCATTGCTACCGCCACTGTGCCAATCTATCTCACTGTCTATCTCTTTTTCTCTGACCCTCTACTTTACCAAACATGATCTCCTTCTCCAGTGATTGGTCCCTCCAGATAATATGCCCGAAGTATGAGAGACCAAGTCTGGCCATCCTGGCTTCCTAGGAGCACTTTGCTTTGGCTGTACTTCTCCCAACACAAGATCTGTTTGTTCTTTTGGCAAGCTATGGTACTTTCAGTATTCTCCTCCAACACCATAATTCAAATAGTCTTCTTTATTCAATGTTCATCTTTCACATGCACATGAGGCTATTGAAAATACCATGGCTTGGGTGAGGTGTACCTTAGTCCTCCTACTGACATCTTTGCTCTTCAATACTTTAAAGAGACCTTGTGCAACAGATTTGCCTAATGCAATATGTTGTTTTGTCTGCTGTTTCCATGAGTGTTGGTGGTTGATCCAAGCAAAATGAAGTCTTTGACTGCTTCAATCTTTTCTCCACTGATATGGATGCTGTTTATTGGTCCAGTGGTGAGGATTTTTGTTTTCTTTATGTTGAGGTGCAACCTATACTGAAGGTTGTGGTCTTTGACCTTCATCACTAAGTATTTTATGTCCTCTTCACTTTCAGCAAGCAAGGTTGTATCATCTGCATATTGCAGGTTGTTAATGAGTCTTCCTCCAATTCTGATGCTATGTTTTTCTTCATACAATCCAGCTTCTTGAATTATTGCTCAGCATACAGATTGAATAAGTATGGTGAAGGAATGCAACCCTGGTGCACATCTTTCCTAATTTTAAACCATTTGGTGTTCCCTTGTTCTGTTTGAACAACTGCTTCTTGGTCTATGTACAAGTTCCTCATGAGCACAATTAAGTGTTCCATAATATTTATATTTCACAATGTTGTCCATAGCTTGTCATGATCCACACAATCAAAGGCCTTGGCATAGTCAATAAGCACAGGTAAACATCTTTCTGATATTCTCTGCTTTCAGCCAAGATCCATCTGACATAAGCAATGATATCCCTCATTACACATCCTCTTCTGAATCCAGCTTGAATCTCCAGAAGTTCTCTGATACACACTATGAAAGAATAAATTTCTGTTGTTTAAAGTCACCTGCTTTGTGGTACAGCAGCCCTAGGAAATTAATGCAATTAACAAACCAAACTGAGCATAATTAATGTGTGTTGTTGTTCAGTGCTGTCGAGTTGGTTATTAACTCATAGCAACCCTGTATTGGGTTTCTGAGGAGCAGCTGGTGAACTTGAACCACCAACCTTGCGATTCAAACTATCTTTGTATTCCAGAACTTATTCTACAGTGCCACACCAGAACTCCAAATAAAGTGTACAGTTTAATGAATTTTCATATACATAGGCATATATTCATGAAATCTTTACCAGAATCAATAATGCACATATCGATTGCCCCTCACCCACCAAAGTTTTTTCATGCCTCTTTGGAGTCCTTCCTTGTCACCTCTTTCTTCTCTTGCTCTCTGTTCTGAGGCAATCCTGGTTGGTTGTTTGTAACCATTTCTCAGGATTTTATACAAATGCAATTATATAGCATGCACTCTTTCTTTTAATCTGGCTTCTATCACTCAGTATAATGATTCTGTATTTCATCCATGTCATAGTGTGTTTCACTGGTTCATTTCTTTTTGTTGCTGAGTAGTTTATTGTATGAGTATACCAGTTTGTTTATCCATTCACCTGTTGATGGAGATTTGAATTATTTCTGGTTTTGATTGTTACAAAAACAGAACTGCTATGAACATTCATCTACAAATATTTACATGAAAATATGCTTTTGTTTCTCTACAATAAGTATCTGGGAGTGGAATGGCTAGAAACTATGGCAGGTATCAGTTTAATTTGTTAGGAAACTGTCAAACTATTTTCCAAAGTGACTATACTAGTTTGCATTCCCGGCAGCTGTATATATGAATTCCTTCTCACCCTTGCAAAACGTGATGTCGTCAATCTTTTTAATTTTAGCCATTTTAGTCGATGTGCCATGCCATTTCATTGCAACTACCTAACGACTTCTGGTGTGTTACTGTAGGATAAGCACTGGACTGCTAACCAAAAGGTTGGTGGTTCAAACCCGCCAGCTGCTCCTTGGAGACTCTGTATAGGGTCGCTATGAGTCAGAATCGACTTGACAACATTTAGCAATAACAATTATTAATGATGCTGATGTTGAACATTTTTCATGTATTTATTTGCCATTCATGTATCTTTTTGTGAAGTGTTCAAAAATTGTTTTTGCTAATTTTGTGATTGCATTGTTTGTTTTGCTTTATTGTTAATGAGTTGTTGTTTTTTGTATTTCTATTATTTGCCATTTTGTCTTCATTTATTATTATTTTTTTTACTGTTATTGAATTTTAAGAATTATTTATATATCCTATGCATAAGTGCTTTATAAAATAGATGAATTACCTTTTTTTTTTTTTCAAGTCTGTGGTTTTTCTTTTTATTCTCAACAATGTCTTTTGAAGAGAAAAATATTTTTTTTTAGGTCAAGTTCAAGTTTTCTATTTGTCCTTTTATGGGTCATGTATTTGCTGTTGTATTTAAGAACACTCTACCTAACCTATGTTAACAGAAGTATTCTATAGTTTTAGATGTTATATTTAGTTGATTTTAAGTTACTTTTATATATGCTGTCACATATAAATCAAAGTTTGCCTTTTAGTATATGGACATTTTGTTATCTTAGAACCATTTGTTGCAGATTATCCTTTTCACATCTAATTGTCTTTACATATTTGTTGAAAATCAGTTTTCCAAAAATTTGTGGTTCTATCTGGACTTTCTATTTTGTTACATTAATCAGAAGTTGATTTCCAAGTTCCTACATGATCTGGCCCCAGATACCCACCTGATCTCAGCTACTCCCATCATTCTTTTTACTCATCTCCCTTCTAACCACATTAGCCTCCTGGTTGTGTTTCCAACATATTAAATACAATCTAGTCTCTTGACATTTGCTCTTAAAAACACACACACAACAAAACTTTTTAAATTGTGAATTAACTGAAGATTTACAGAGCAGATCATCAATTTTACATTCAAAAATCAAACACTTCATTTCACCTCAGTGGTGGCAATTCCTTTAATGTAACATCATTTATCCCACTTTCTCTCTGGAAGTTCTTTGATACCCTGAATTTGGACTTCTTTCTTGTTCCCATTCTTCCTTCTTTCTAACTCTTCTGAATTTTGTCACCTGGTAAATGCTACCCTTATGATCTTGAATGGTTGGCCATTCTATGATGTGCATACCTCACTAGTGTTGTTAGTTCCCCCCTCTCCCCACCCATATACTTATCTACTGCTTGGCTGAAAATTGAGCCATGGAGGTGAGTTCTGTTCTAGACCAAGGGCTTTAGTCTTGGGATTTCACTAGTTTCTATCTGATAGGACATTTGCTCTTATAGTCCCTTCTTTCTTTGATACTCTTCCCTTAGATGTCTTTAAGGCCCTTTCCCTTATTTAATTCAGACATCTGATTTAATGTCACCTCAACAGAGAGGTCTTTCCTGACTACCTGAGGTAAATTCTTACTCCATCACAATGCTCTATTTCTTTTGCCATACTGTATTTGTCCTTTGTACCATTTATCATTACCTGCCATGTTGTATATATGCTTACTATTCGTTTCTCTTCTCTTTTTTTGCTATTCAAATGTAAATTGCATGAGAAAACCATCTTCATTTTACTTATTGCTGTTATTCTAATCCTTAGAATGATGTCTGTCACATGGCAGGTACTCTGTAAATGCCTATGGAATGAGTGAATTAATGAATGGATGGGTGGAGAAAACGTATTCGAACTTATTTAGAGAGTGCAAGTCTAAGAAACTTTTGTGGAGTTTCAGGCTAGAAATTGATAAGCAATCCATCCGCAATAAACTCGTTCTTAAAACATGAGCCCTTCTCCTTGTCATGATACAATGATCAAGGTTGCTTCAATGTTGGACTATTATTTCTAATGAGCCCTTGATGCTCATTGTGACAAGGAAGAAAAGTACATAGAGAACTCACAGCTGCACCCCACTGGTGAGAACTATACACCTGACTTATCAGCAAGGATACAGAAAAATATGAAAGCATATTTTGATGATTTGGTGATGATTATTGCCTCTTCTATCATCCTGATTTCTCTTTTGTTCCAAGGAATGTTCAGGAAAAAAATTGTTTCTTAACTTTGATGTAGTTTAACTGTTTTGATCATTTTCATGCTGAAGTTTTCTAATTTTACTGGATTAAGATCAGAAAATGAGTCCCATAAAA